CAAAGTGACTGTTTATAACAACCCAGCCTATTTAGAGGCTCTCCCTTACTTGACACTAGACAGGTTTGGTCTCCCAACTCAAGTGCTGCCAGGAACCATTTTGTTTATGGCCTTCTAGGGCTTGTGAGGCTGTAGACTCGGATTAGTCACTACAGCTTATTATTGTTCAGCTGTGAGGCTGACTGTTTATTTCCCAGTGAAATGCTCTCAAAACTCACTGCAATGATTGATTTTAAGGTCTTAGCTAGGGTGAATTTGTGTTCTGGTTCTAAGCTGTAGCATGGCCTCCAAGTTCAATTTGCAAGCAGACAGCTAAAACTCAAAACACATCAGGGCCCAGTGGAGGGACAGACACTATCACAAAGACATTATAAGCATTCACCAACAGATTAAGCACTTCTGAACGTCTCAGTGGTCAGAGACTAGAGAGGATTCTAATTTCCTACTATGTCCTCTTTCCATCACAAAGTGAAGGGCCCATCAGGTAAGAGACTTTTACCTCATGCCTTCAAGCCAAACGCTGGCACAGAGTAGCACTCACCTCCAATTAGACGGAGGTAGCTGTCCTTAGCCAGAATGGCTTCAGCATGAAACACTAAGACAGGGACCCGCCGGCAGCCACCACCTGTCCACTTGATACATGGATGACCCCTGAAATGACAAGACAGTGAGTACAAGCAACAGCTGAGCCTCATACATGCAGCAGTTAGTCACAACAATTACACAGCAATTCTCCATACTTACCCACCTAGCCTGTGGACAGGACATAAGCACACATGCTGGCAAAAATAGTGGAAGATTAGTGAGGAGGACTGTAAACGTGCCTAAATGACTTACAGCTTGTGTGTAGAAAAACACACGTAGCATACTAACTGCTGTCTTTGTGTGTTTCACAAGTAGAACATCTGAAGTCAGATGGCACAGCACTGCAACAGTTTTCAAGGCACCCTACCAAACATGCTTGAGACTCCTGCCCCATGGTGGGAAAGGTCAAAGCGCAGTGGTAAAATACATCTGCAAGAATCCCAAAAAAATGGGCAGCAGCTTCAGTATTCTCTAGCAAGGACCAAGCTCCACAATGACTGCCTCTGCTTGCTGCTTTGGGGATCCCCCAGTGAGCAAGGTAATGAAAAGAAATTTACTCTTTGCATTCAAGACGAAGTTTTGTGGTTGCCCCTAAGCCCTGCCTGGGCTGAATCAACACACACACACGCTAGGCATCTGTGGTGGTTCCAGGTTGCACCCTGGCTAGATGCCAGGCACCCACCAAAGCTGCTCCATCATTACCTTCCACAGCTGGACAGGTGAGAAAAAATTTACCAAAAGACTCATGAGTTATGGGCAGGGAGGGACCACTCACTAATTATAGTCACAGGCAAAAGAGACTCAACTTGTGGAAATTAATTGAACTTACTACCAATGAAAATCAGAGCAGGATGAGGAGAAGTAGATCAAATCTTAAAAACACCCTCCCCCCACCCCTCTCTCCTTCCCAGGCTTAACTTTATTCCTGAATCTCTACCTCCTTCTCCTCAGCAGTAGAAGGAAATGTGGAATGGGGGTTACAGCCAGTTCATCACACGGGATCCCAACCTTCTTTTGAGCACGCACCTGCTTCAGTGTATAGCTCCTCCACAAGCTGTAGGTGAATCTCTGCACCCCCACAGATATTCATGGACTGCAGGGGCACAGCTACCTCAGCATGGTCTTCACCACAGACTGCAGGGAATCCCATCTCTGGCACCTGGAGCACCTCTTTGCCCTCTGACCTTGGCGGCTGCAGAGCTCCTCCTGTCACATATTCTCGCTCCTCTCTTTTCTCAGCACCACTACCCCCACACAATAACTTTTTTTTTCTCTTCACAGATATGTTATCACAGTAGTATTTCTACCATCATTCCTGGGCTCCATCTTTACCAGTGGTAGGTCCATATTGGAGCATTGTCTCTGTCAGACATGGAGAGAGCTTCTTGCAACTTCTCACAGAACCCACCACCATAGCTCTCCCACTACTAAAACCTGGCCACACAAATGCAATACAGCACCCTTGGTACTCAGCTATAAGGAGAATCTTCAGATCACCCTCTTTTTGAGTTAGTTTTGCCAGCCCATGTTCAGTTTAATCCTGTTTAGTTCTGTATTTATTTTAATGGGTATAATTCAGGAGAGGCCTCATGAGCATTCACAGCTACAGTTATCTGAATTTATAGCCTAAAAACGAGACCTATAATTCATGACAAACCACAATTGCTGGTATCCACACAACCAGACCTTGCAATGCAGGTTCCAGCCTCCAATTTTAGAACTGCAGATCAGAGCAGTCAGCCTGGCTGACTGGAGTTTGAAGTACACAAAAAAGCAATAATGCAGAGTTTGAGGGACTAGAACAGACTTGGCTCAACACAATGGATAAAGCTGTGTATTCTTCCCTTTTAATTCCTGTCAGATACAGAGGAATACAAGACCAGGATTCAAGAACAATGCCCCCCAGTGCACCACTTAAGCTACAGGCTCTGAGATGCAGTGATCAGTTCTGTACAAAACATGAGTACACTGGAAAATATCATCTCCTCAGAGGAATTATAGACACACCAAAAAAAAAAAAAAATTAAGACCTGTTATATCAACCTTCCTAAGCAAATAAAACTCAGGCTGTTTACTACCACTGCACAAGGAAATTAAAAACATGAAGAAGTTAACAGAAAACAGAGACTGAGGGACTGGAAAGACACCTCTACACTAACAAGAAGAAATACAAAGACTGTCAGAGATATACAAAAGCATTTGTATATGAAAGATTATTGTCTGCCAAAGGTTTGGAGAAGCTAGACAAGATAAAACACCTCAAACTCTTAGAACAAAAGAACAGAGATAGATGGGCAACTTCCTGATGCATGGACAAGGGCTCTTAAGGGTAGCCTAGGTCCTCTTAACAAAGCTACTACCATCATCATCCAGACAAATTAACTTCACAGCACTCCTACCTGCTTCTGCTACCTCTGTGAAATATTTTTTTTTAAAAACCTACAACTGGGGTGTAATTACCTATTCAGATTGGAAGGGACCCAAGAAGCTTTCAGAATTTACACTACAGGCCAGAGCCTTATGTAAGTGGAAAATGAGCTGAGGCAACAAGACAGGAGTTTATACTAAGCCTGTCCTGGGATTTGCAGCACGGCTCAATCCCCCAGGTGACAGTCATTCATTCCTAGCATGACCCCCGGTCACCAGATGCAGACATACTCTTACAGTCGCATTCCAGGTGAAGCTAGTTCTGGACCTTTCCATCCATGAGGATCCAGCAAACCCAAGACAACCACTTGCTATGAAGCAACATTCTTCTAAATGTCTTAAGTCACTGTAGTCAGCAGCTGAGCACTCAGTCACAATGTGCATCCAAAAAAAAACCCTTAACAGGACACAGTGAAGTAGGTCCAGGTGAAACAAAAGTGATTCTGCTATGGGAAAGAATAAGGGAGCAATTCCTTCACAAGCATAGCTAAAAGAAGTTACTAAACGAAGATGGAATAAATATTACAACTTGTTATTTGTAAGAAAAATGAAGTCTAGTAGTTATCAAAAGACTTTTATAAAACAAAAATTTTATAAAAAGGGCATAAAACATCATATATCAATCTACTGTACAGCAGATTTCTAATCTCTGCAGCAGTAAAAACTAAAAAAAAAAAAAAAACAGCCAAACAAAAAACCACAAACCTCTGCCCCCAGAAAACCACACATGCCAAAAAAAAAAAAAAAAAACAACCAACCAAACAAAAAAGGAACATGTATCATCAAAACATTCCCATTTTAGGAACATGACAGAAAGAAATCCATGGAAATATGGACTTCGAGACAGCCAAGAAAAGCTGCACATCCATCCCGGATGAATGTGGTGGTCTTTTAGGCTGCAGATGTAGATAGCCTGCTCATAGGTTTAAGGCCAAAACAAATCATCTTTCACTTCATAGGCAGGAGGGTAAAGAATGCATCTGTCTCTTGAAACTACTACAGATCCACCAGAAAGCACAAGGACATAGAAACAGTTCAGAGGTTTTTCCTACTTACTCTAGTGCATCTACAGCATCTTCTTCCTCCTCCTCTGAGGATGAGCCAGTTTCCTCCAGATCTTTAGCCATCCCAACTGGCATTTCCTTTGGGAGTTCTCATACAGCTCAGTCCTAGTTGCAAGAGCAGTTACCTGCAATAAGGATTAAAAGCAGGAATGAAGAGCTGAGCAGGACAGCAAGAGGTATCAGGTAAGTACCACTTCCTGCCGGTAGATAATTCTTACAATACTATCAACAAGTCTGTTAAACATCCGTGATCTGTCAAACATCACCTCGGAGCCACGAGGGTGCAGAAAGCAGCATCCCGTTCCAGCAGACCATTCCGCACCTGCCCGCGGGAGCCACTCGGGCCCTCACCGCTAACGCGCGTCCCTGCCCCGCCCTGCCTCGCCTCGGCCGCAGACCCACGCCAGGCCGGCCCAGCCCAACGGGAAACGCTCGCCAGGACCGCCCCGCCGCACGGGGCCAGCCGGACACCGTAACGCCTCCACCGGCGCAGGAGGGGCGGCTACGGCCCGGCCTATCCCGGCCGGGCCATGCACGGCGACCTCCGGGGGTCCCAGAAAAAGCAAGAGCGGCGGGGAGCGCCTAAGGCAGCGGGTGCCCGTGCTAGCCGTACCTGCCGCGCTCGGCTGGCGGCGCCGGGCCGGGCGCGCACGGCAGCGCCGGCCCCTCCCGCCGCTTCCCCGTTACTACAACAACCGACGGGCGGCGCCCCGCCCCGGCGCGCGGCCGCCCCGCCGCCTCACTGCGCAGGCGCACTGACTCCGCCCCCTGCCGGCGCGCTCACTCGCTCCCGCGAGGTGGGCGGGGACGAGGCGGGCATGATTCCCGCGCGACGAAGGATCCGATTGGCGGGGGGCGGTCTTACGTAGCGTGGCGCGCGCATGGGGCGGCGCGCCGCGGCCAATGGGAGCGCGGGGCGGTGGCGTGGGCGGGAGCGCCGCCGGGAGCGCGCAGGGACGCGGCCGGGCCCGGCGAGCGCGGCTCGGGTTGGAGCCGACCGGCAGGATGAGCCGGTTCCTGAACGTGCTGCGCAGCTGGCTGGTGATGGTGTCGGTCATCGCCGCCGGGAATACCCTGCAGAGCTTCCGCGATCACGGCTTCCTCTCTGAGAAGCTGTACACCGCCAGCCCCGGCCTCGGTAAGGGCCGCGCCGGCCGCCCTGGCTCCTGCCGGTGTCCTTTCAGCCATGGGCCTTGCACTGTCTTCGGAGTCCCACCTCTGGGGCCCGGCGACACTGGGGCTGGCAGGCAGGGCCGTGCGTGGTCTCCATGTGCTCCCTCCTTTTTTACGCAGTGAATGGGCTCCAGGCTCGGACCTTCGGCGTCTGGACCCTGTTGTCATCAGTGATCCGCTGCCTCTGCGCAATCGACATCCGTAACAGGACGTATGTAAAGCAGCACCCGAGAAATCCATTGGTTTGCTTGCTAGACACAGCCTGAGCTTAGGGGGCGGCACAGAGGAGGTGGGGAATCAAAAGCTGTTCCTGAACTTTCTATAGTGTTGACAGCATTCCCTTAAAGAAGCTCAAATAGTGGGATTTGTGTGGTAGCTGCTGCCCCCTTCTTCCTCTGTGGGGACAGCCTGCGCGTTTGAGTTCTGTTCTTAGCTCAGTCAGAAACTGGTGGATCTGAGAACCTCATACCGTCACCAATTTCTGAGCTCCAGCTTGGAAAGCATTTTCTGAATGGCGCTGCTGCTCTTTTAATTAAGCAAGTGCTAATGTTGTGGTGTGACTGATGCTCAGTACTTCTTTTAGTATGACAGCTCAGCTAAAGACTAGGACAGTTATAGGTGCCCCATTGCAGTGGTCTTAACCGGTTGCTTTCTTCCCTACACTCTTACCTGGGGCTGACAGCAAGGCCTGAGGAGCAGCCTGGTGCTGAGTGGGAGACACACCATTTCTCTGTGTGCTAACAGAGGGGTTTCCAAGCAAGCTGACTTGAGGTCTGTGCTAGACAAAGCCTTTATTGGAGGTTGCTAAAATGCTTTTGTCAGTACTTTCCTCGGCCCTGCTGCAGAAGTCACTGTTCACCTGGCAGTGTGTGCTTGGAGTGCCTAGGCTTATCTGAGGTAGGGAGGCGCAGGGACTAAGCGATGTTGTTTCTAGGGGGTGATGGCAATGCCAGTTATCAAGAATCAGTTGTTTCTTTGAGGAATTTTATTTTGCATCTCTTGAACCTGCTCCGTTTTCAACAGCTGTGGCCCATAGAGGGTAGCAGAGCACAGGTGGGAAGACACTGGGTGATGCAGCCTGAAGTCAGAGAAGTCTTGTCACCCTAATTCTCTGCTCATCCAGTTCTCACCTTTTTTTTTGTGTGTGCACATACTTCTCATTTCACTGTTGCCCTACTCATGCTCTCCCCTCTTCACCTTCCTTCAGGCCAGATAATGCCTGTGACTTCCAGTGCGCCATAGAACATGCTGCCCTGTTCTCCTCTCAGCTGTTGCCCAGGGAGATTTTGCACCTCACGAGGCAAGGGACAAAGTCCCCTCTGTGCTGCCGGTGAGAGCAGATGGGGCAGCATGCAGGTTTGCCTTTTTTTCTACTCTGCCATATTCATACCCATAGTATGATATAATAACATTCTTTTTTCTGCTCTTCAACAGCCTCTATCACATCACACTCTTTACCTTCTTTTTGGCCCTTGCTCACTTCCTCTCTGAGGTCTTCATCTACCACACTGCCGCCTTGACAATTGGAGTTATGGCACCCCTCATGGTAGCAAGTAAGTAGAGCTCTGCATCCTCCCCCTGCATACTCTCCTTGGAACTATGATAGCCCAGAAAAACTCCTCATGCAACTTTGGGCTGTGGGGATGGTGGGAGGGGATGCCTCATCTCTTGCCTGGCGTTTTCTACATAATTCATCCTGTATCTCCATCACAGGTTTCTCTATTATGGGGATGTTGATTGGACTGCAATACCTGGAAGTAGAAGCGCTATCACAAAACAAGAAGAAAAAATGAAGTTGAGCACTTTTTGTGGATCAGTGTCATCTTCTACCTTCACTGCCAGACTTCCATGAAAGCTCAGCTGAATTTCTCCAGGACACCAGTCCCGCTGGTGGGTCAGTGTCAGACTGTGTCAATCACTGTCATTACCAAGTTGTTTTTGTCTTGTCCAGGCAACATTTCAACTGACTGATGTCAAAGACCAAGTCCCAGTGGAGTTTGTGTCAAAGCTTATGGGAGGCAGTTGGTGACTGACTCCCTGGGTAGCAGGCAAAAGTCTCTGGCATGCCCAGAGCTCTAAGGACTTCTGTCCCAGTGTACTTGTGGGGACAAGATGCAAGAACTACCCAGGATGTGCTGAACACTGGACCAGAGAGAATGGGTGCTACCCCTGGCATTGCTGTGTAACTTGCATGTGTGTGTTCCCCAGGGGCCATTTCTAATAAATGACCAAAAACTGCAGTGGGCTATGTTTGTCTTTCTGCTACACAGCAGTGGGTAGAAGATCAGAGCCAACAGCACCTTCCACTATATGTTGCAGAATACATCATCTCTCTTTACAGCAAACTTACCTTTCCCTGACTCCTTGCCACAAAGTTCCAGGTCTGACTGCTCACATAACACACATGAAGAGGGTTGTTGATGCTCTCTGCAGCATGCTGGTGACAGCAAACTCGAACTATGAATCTGTGAGCGAGGACTGAGGACTGTGTAGCAAGTTATAACTACAGAAGATGGAAAAAACAGGAACAGGTTCTCTGGTTCCTCAGACCTAGAGAAAATAATGCCCAAAACAGTGGGCAGTACACAGAATGCAGAAAAAACAGCAGGAATTCCTAGCTGGGAAGGCAATTGATGTGCAGAAGAAAGAGGAAGCAAATAGGGAGAAAGAACACAATTGTAGCACTAGGCAGAAAGATGATTTTTCCATTCTGCAGAACATTTCAGGCTATTAAATGAGCCACATGTAGACTGTTTTTTTCAATCATTTAATATGAATATGCCAGGTTTCACTGTACACTTCAAATGTTTATATTTTACATTAGAATTTCTATTGAAAATCATTCTAAAACCCCATCAATCCCAGACTATCAAAGATAGGACTTTAATCATAGAATATGCTGAATTTGAAAAAAATTTATCAGGATCACAGTCCAACTCCTGGCCTTGCACAGGACCCATAAGAATCACACCATGAGCCTGAGAGTATTGTCTAAGCATTTACTGAACTCAGGCTGTGTCAAAAAATGCTACAATTTCATTTAAAAATATTTTGTCAAAAATAGTTTGTCAGAGAGGAATATTTTTAACCATTGCACCTCAGTACAGCTTTTGTCCCCTGATTCAAGTAATATATAAGTAACAGCATGATTTAAGGTGTATTAAGGACACTTGATGTCTCCAGCAGGGGTGGGATGGTGGAAAGGATGGAGAAGTGATAAAAGGATCTACAGTTGTGTTTAGAAGACAAACAACATACAGATGGGCAGTGTCTGTAAGACACAAATGCTGGTAAGTAGGCACCTTCTCCTGTTCTCTATTATGAGGTGAGAAGCTTCCACACTGGAGCAAAGTTGGATTCCCATCATACCCCTCTCTGTGGTTGTGAAGAGCAATACACCCTTGGCTGCTTTTCACAATGTAACACTTCACAAAAGTTTGTATGTAAGGTTGAAACATGCAAAAGGCACTTTGTTGTTAAGGAGGAAGACACAGTCCTCAGCCCAGGGAAATAGTGGTTTGACTCATTTCTGTTGCTAATGTAGTGATGAGCTAGATTTAGGTTGCAGAACTAGTCCTTGCCTCAAGCTAGGAGGAGGCATATTAGTATCTCTTAATTATTATATTTTAATCATACTCCTAATACATAGGAACATAAGGGCAACCCCAGTGAATTCTGAGTAGAAGTTTATCCAGATGAAGAGTGCTTCATCTGGGAAAGCCAAATAATAAAAGAAGAGCTGGCAGCAGCTGCTGCACTGCTTTGCACTTGCTGATAATGTACTGAGACCTCTACTACTATCTGTGCAACACAGAGCATCATGGGAACCAAGGAAGAGCAATCCCTTTTCCCTAGAGCCAGCTTTTCCAGGGATGCTTACAGAGTTAAGTGTGGTCCAGCTTCTGCCTTTCATGTCGCAGCCACATGCAAGGTGCCACCATCATGCTCAGGGTTAGCTTGGTACTGTGGCTTTTCCTCTCTGCACATACGCTTTTTCCAAGCATACATGGTGGGATTGGGGGAGCACAGCATTTTCCCAGCTTCTTCTCCCAAACACCAGAACAGCGTGATGCAAGGACAAAACCGACAAAAGCAACCCTCCCCTCTTGTTTTGCTTTTTAACACTCTCCACAAGCAGTTCACAGGGTTCCTTTCCTGAGGCTGCTCCCCTCCCGTGGCATGCATGTGACAGGAGGATGGTGCAGGTATAGGAGGATAGGAATGAGGGGGGCTGTATCTCCCAGCGGTGCCACCCCTTTATTTCACAGCCGTGATTCCTCAAGGACTATAGTGTAAGCTTCTGGCAACGTTTTCTGCAAGTCAGAGAAAAACAATATGGTTAGGATCCTGGCTGGCCAGACCCTGGCTTCAGAGACATCAGCTGGCCAGAGCCTGGGTAGTTCATAGCTCCCTGCTACTACAGAAATCCCCAAAGAAGAATCACCATCCTCAGAGAGTGCTGCTGGTTCCCTCTTCCTTCTCTACCAACTCCGACTGCCCAAGCAAGGGGCACTGGGGCATCAGGGCAGTGCAACATCCCACTGTTTAAGCTACTTGCTGTAGTCCTCAGACAATTACTAATTCACTGTGGGGCTGATACCACTGGAGGTATCAGACTCACAGCCAGCTCACCAACATTTGGCTGTGACACAAGGTCAGCCTCAAAGCATGAAGTTGCAGGTCTAGTTCCCTGGGCAAGGGAAGGTGCTGGGAACTCCTTCATGCCATGAGGCAGCATGGTGTCTGTGCAAACACCAGAGAGAACTTGCTTTCTTTACATCCTCAGGAGGCTCAGCACAACCACTAGTTCCCCTGTATTCTTACTCCAGCATGTTTGAGGCCTCTTCAACTCCCAGACACATTGCTTATCTTGCTCATCTTCCAAATCTTTTCATTCCCACTCCCACTGCCCACCGAAGTGCTGGCACCCTCTGTCCTGCTTCTTCCCTTTCCCCAGCTTGGATTTATGCCTGAGATGATTCCACTGAGTGGTGCCTTCTTCGAAGTTCACTACTTGTATCTTAAAGAGATGTAAGAAATAAGAGGTAAACATACAGAAGATTTTTCTCCACAAATCATACAGAAGAACTAGCCTGATTTCTTGGAACCTTAAGATGGAGGGAGCTTTTCCCCAGAGGAAAAGCAAGGAAAATGGAGATTGCTGCCCAATTACCACCATATCCTCAGCTTCATGGAACAGCCAAACTGTTCTAATTCCAGTTCAGCTTTCCTAGATGGAGTTTGACAAGCTCAGTTTCTGAGCCTTTCTGGGGTGTGTTAGGATTAAATTTGAGACTTTTTCTTCCCCTTTTGGAAAGTATACTTCTCAAGTTCTAATTCTCCTTACAGTGAGACAGCCCAGCTGTCACCAATTCAGAAGACAGGACTCAGACTTGTAAAGGTGTAAAGGTCCCCTGCAGCCTGGGCTCTGAGTTTACTCACTGTAAGGCAAGACTGACATCAGAGGCAGAAATCAGAGGTGCACAGGAAAGAGGTTCATGTCCCCAGTGCAGTTCAAGAGAAATCCAGGCAGCATGGAAGGAAGAGATATGAAACTGTCACATTTTGAGTAGGCTCTTACACAATCTGTAGGTGAAAAGGTTTTGCAGAAGTCAGCAGCAATATCCCAAAGCAGAGGAGTGAGATAAGGAAAGCTTCAAAGACATGTCTGAAAGCAAAAGCCAGGAAGTGCAAAGAGGGAACTTGAACAAGCAGGAAGGGTAGGGGGTGCCTGAAGTAGTGCCAGAGATAGGAATAAGGGGAAATTCTGCATTTAGACTTCAGAAACTCCACCAGAATACACCATGGAAGCACTCAAGCAACTCAGAACAGGCTCCCCAAGCACCTCTGGGGTCTCAGCACCAGTCATCTGCTGTGGAGCTATAGGAGCAGAGATTTAGACCAGACAGTCTGCAGGGCTCCACTACCTTGGGAAAGGAAAGCTGCTCTCACAGCTGTGAGTCACAGTACTGGAAAAGGGCACACAGATGGCCTGCCTATGGCTTTGGTACAGGAGAAGGCTGCTTGCCACACAGTAAACAGAGAAATGGAGTAGGGCACTTTGGAAAGCAAAGAATGGGTTCACATTGTTTGGGCCTACTACACAGAATTCCAGCATTTTTTATTGGCAGTATTTCACTAGAGGTTAAGCATGGTGCAGCTTTCACTAGAATCCAGTAAGCTACTGAGGATGGATACTTGTCCTAAACAAACTATGGAAGGTCAGCAAAGATGCTTTTTCTTAATGCAAAGAAACAATACAAAAAGGTTTGCATGGATGCTGCGAATCACAAGCAGTACACAGCATATTCATGAGTATAATGTGTGTGGTGAATCAGCTGACGCTACTATGAAATCTTAAGGCACAACACTTCAGATGCATTTACAACAAGGGCAGCACACAAAGAGCCTCATTATCACATAAAACAGGTATTTGATCCAAGTGTCCTGAGATGCAGAAAGCTAACCCAGCTGGAGCTCTGGGAACTTAGGTAGACAAAAGTGAGGAGGATTGTTGGGACCATATTACAGCTTAATTAATAGCGGACAAGGCGTACACAATGCCATTAGACTAATTTAATCTACTAATTGCAACATTTGTTTAATTATAACCATAGCAGATGAGGGCATCAATAGAAGACAAACTGCTACACAGCCAATGGTACAGTGCTTGAGTGGAAAGTGAGATCTGCACAACTCCACAGCTCTGGAAGCTCACAACTGACTCTGAGTGTTCTCCTTGCAACAGCCACAGAATTGTTTAGGCTGGAGAAAACCCTTAAGATCACCGAGTCCAACCATTTACCCAGCACTGCCAAGTCCACCACTAAACCATGTCCCTAAAAACCACATCTACATGTCTTTTAAATACCTTCAGGGATGGTGACTCTAACATTTCCCTAAGCAGCCTCTTCCAATGCTTGACAACCTTTTTGGTGAAGAAATTTTCCTAATACCCAATCTAAATCTCCCATGGTGTAACTTGAGGTTCTTGTCCTGTCATCTGTTACTTGGGAGAGGAGACTGACCCCCAACTCACTATGACCTCCTTTTAGGTTGCTATAGTCAGCAAAAAGGTCTCCCTCGAGCCTCCTTTTTTCCAGGCTAAACAACCCCAGCTCCTTCAGGTGCTCCTCACAGGACTTGTGCTCCAGACCCTTCACCAGCTCTGCTGTCCTTCCCTGGATATGCCCAAACACCTCCATGTCCTTTTTGTAGTGAGGGGCCCAAAACTGGACAC